ATAAGTAGAGTAATCTCCGATGCAAAACAGAAGATACCCAACACTGGAGTGAATATTGGACTTGCATTGATCAGTGTGACATAAAGACAAATACAGATGAATTTTGATATTGCTTTGTGTGAGCTGGATGTCTTTGCTAACATGTAGCTATACATTTTTTTGTGAGGTGATAGTCATAACTAGGTGATGTCAATTGTGTGCATGATGTTTAGCTTGTAGAGCTGATTAATGCTTTAGTTAACCGATAATAAAAACAACTGCTTTTGCTCTACCTGCTCTTGAACATGCAGTTAGGTTTTGTTTCATACCAGTCATTACATTGGCATTGTCATATTGTTGATTTTTTATAATTGTCTTTTTTGTGTGTTTGTGTGTGTCATTGTAATTTTCAGAATCTCGCTCAAAGACCAAGCAGGCTCTTGCCTGCATGCTACATTAAACTTACTATAAATTTACTGAAGGATTTACTAAACTGGGAAACTTGCATAGTCATACAATAAACACAACTTTCTTCTGCTGCATAAATGGCCTACCAGCTGTAGCTTAGTGAAAAGTTAACACACGACCTGCATGTCATTTTTAAAAGCTGTAGCTTTTTATTTTAGCTGTGAAAAAACATGTTTTCTGTCTACATTTACCACTCTGCTGTTTTATTTCTCAGCCTTCATTGGTCCACCCACTGTGTCTCTCTTCTCCAGTGGGGCAACTCTGGAAGTCGGAATTCAAGATCCAGTGTTCATGATCTCAGCACTGAGGAATGTATATAATGGAGCCACCTACAACATTACCTACTGGAAGAAGGACCAGAATGAAAAGGTGGAAAACGGTGGTTTATCTGCTGTTTGATTTCAGAATGACATCATACATTTATGGCTGTTGTGCAGCATACTGGGATGAGCAAAACATTAGCCATGACAAAAATGAATGTACTGACTGAGTTTTGAGGTTATGTGAATGGCATTAGGAACATTCTGTTCCATAAAAAGAGGAACTAGTTTATATTTCCTAACAATAGGTCTCAGTTTGAGTTGCTGTGGATTTGATGGGCTGTGACATTATACCTAACCCAAGTAAACTTAATGCTTGAATATGTTTTGTCTGAAGCACAGAGGATGGAAAAACAAATTAAGTCACAGAAGTTGGAAATGTTCTTATTACTATTGAGGTCACTGACACATATCACTATCATTTTACCACCTAGCCCTCTAAGCTGTTAGAATACATCTTGTCAAGAACATACCTGCCTGGACTTTATAGCAATTGCTGTCCTGTAGCTGTTGCCGGCCGTCATGGGTAGAGAAGCTCACACACCTGACCATTTCTGTGTTTCCTACAGGCAAGAAGCATCTACAACATACAGCAGAACCGGCTGGTTCTAAATGACCTGGAGCCCCGAACCAAGTACTGTGTCCAAGTCCAAATCAACACAGACAGGAACCCCAACCCCAGCCAGCCCAGCAGCATTATCTGTGAGAACACTGCCAATGGTAAACCTGTTTTGCGAACAACCAGTAAATGAGGAAATCCTTGATCTGTAAATGTTGTTGTAACATCAGGACCACACCACACATATGGCAAGACTTTGTAATACATATTGTCACATTTTTGTAGTGCAGTATATCAAATTCTGATTCCCCTTTACATAGGGAAAAGCAAATGATTTATTAAGAAAGTGATTTTGGAACCTTAACCTCATTCCAAAATGGCATGTCATAAGACAAACATACAGTAAAAATTAAATAAATTCTGAATATTGGAATGGAAGTCACAGGCATATTCATTTTTAATTTAGTGATCACAAGTTTTCTAATTTCTGTCGTCAGTCACAGGTGTATTCAGTTTTATTGCACTGAGTTTCTACTTTGGGACGTCTATTTTCAATATAGTCTCTCAAAAGTTCTTTTGAAGAGGAAATATTCTTCTGTTTAACTTAGAAGTAATGCAATTATTTAAGTGTGCCACAATTTTGAATAATTTGCCATTGAAGTAATAATGCCCTGAGATGTACTCACTTCTTTTGTCTACTGTACAGCAACACCAAACCCCTCAGATCCACTCACTGGTTCTTCTTCACTGTGCCCTCAGGAAGTGAGCACCACTCAACAACTATATGTATTTGTGGTTGCTACACAGTGATAAAGTAGTGCATGTGCAATGTGTTTCCTACTGCTGGTTAGCACAGATCTCCTTGCAAAGACGTGTGTCTAGCCAGTTATTCAAAAATGGATATATACAACAACCTTCTTTGTGAACTTTATGTTTAGTTATTGTTTTATTACTTTTAAAGGCCATAGACTACACTAGATTTGCAAGAAGTGCTGAATCTCATAGAGAGTGGCTTAACACAATCTAAAAGTGGCAATGTGCATGTAAGTGACGACAGTTTTGATATTCCTAGTATAAGGGGCCAAACCAAAATTCACAAGATGGTAAATTCAAGTTTTGCAGTGACTGAAATCCAAACAATAATCCATCCATCATCTTCACACTATTTAATCCTCACTAGGGTTGTGGGGGGGCTGGAGTCTATCCCAGCTGACTCTGGATGAAGGCAGGGGACACCTGGACAGGTCACCAGACTATCACGGGGCTACACATGCAGACAAACAAGCACACTCACATTCACACCAACATTTAGAATCATCAGTTAACTGCTCTAGAACATGACAGAACTAAATTAAGACTACTCACATACCAATGACTTTACCCTGTCTTGATCTAAATTATTTTTGCAGAACAAGAAACTCCATGGGTGGCAGCTGTGGTGGCATTTGTCACAATGGCAGTGGCAGTAACTCTGGTGGTGGTTGCGGTGGTGTATTGGAAAAGTATCTCCCAATTTCTCTGTCCGAAAGATGCACTGCCTCTACACTTTAAAGAGGTGTGTATGTTTTTATTAGTGTCTGCATGGATTTTGCATGTAGATGTTGCTGTCTCTTCATTTCATTCTTTAGCAAAGCCAAATCAGTTTGCTTCCTTTCTGCTTCCTAGTCTCTGCTGGCGCACCCCAACTCCACCATGTACCTGGCCATGCAGAGCTCGCACCCAGTTGAGGAGATCTACCACCCAATCAGCATCATTGCAGGCGACAGGACTGTGGAGGAAGGGGATCCTCTGGAGGCAGCAGGGAGCAGCTGCGGTCAACAGTCTGATGTCATAGTGGAGGAATGATAAAAGGAAAAAGGGAAAGGCTGAAAAGCACAGAAGCAGTGAAAAGAATAGAGCTTCACGCTGCAATCGGGTGTTAAAGACTCTAAGAAACAGTGACATAATCAGTTCATGCTTGACTTCAGAGTTTAAATGCAACAAATTCTGCAGGAGTCTCACATTATTCCTCAAAGCATGTGCGACTGTAAAGTGATGTCTGGCAGAGCCACAGAGGTATGCAGGTACAATACTGATACATCATCCAGGTGATGTCATTTTTGCACTGTAGAGTTCTAATGTTGCTGACACTATTACCACATACCATATTTAACTGAAGGAGCATTGCACACCCCACTCTGAAGCATGGCGCTGTGGTGCTACAAGATTGTCCATTTACTATGGTCTGTGTGTTATTGTGTTTTGCCAAGATGCCAATATCTATAAGCTGACATTTAATGAGTATGCTTGGTGAAATACGCAAAAACTGAAGTGCCTTGATGTGGCTGTATGAAGGTTTTTTTTCTTAATAAAATAAATGAAGAAATTAGTGGTGAAGTGGGAGATGCATTCTACAACAGAAGTTCCGACATGGAGAATGAAGAGGAAGTATTTCAGATACTGATCTGTTTCTCAGCCAGCAAATCAAACCAAAGATTAGTAGGCCCTTTACGGTCATGGATTAAACTACTAAAACTGATCTCCATGTATCTAACCTTTATTTTTTTCCATGAAAATAATCCCTTCATGCCCTAAAGTGTCTCTCAATATAACTTTATGCTGTTGCTTCCTTCAAATCCTGCAGGTGCATGCAGTCCCTGCCTCTACCTCCACCCACCCCTTTTTATTTGCTGCAGCTGAAGCACACCATCTCACCTTCAATTCTGCTAAACCACTACAACTACTCTATGCTACACAATGGCAAGTTGAAATATTGGGAGTAATTCACCCATACATGTTCAAACTGGAACACAATTCCATAGAAGAAGAATGATACAGATCACTAAATCTTAATCAGTGCTTTTAAGAGTTTCAGTGGCACATTGAAGCTTCATGAAATGCTAAGCTTTGGCATTGACTGCTTATTGTGCTCATGACATGTCTTCTAGCATACAAAAACACTCTACAGACATGTTAATGTAAAAAGCTTGATTTCACTGGAGGGAGTCTTTGTTCCTGGCACAAAGACCATTTTTAAGTTGTATTCTTTCATTAAATCACATATAGATGGCGTTCTCCCAAGAGAATAATCTCTGTATTTCTGATTTGGTCTGTCATGTGTTGAACAGATGTAATAAGTAAAAGGTAAACAATAAAATTGAGCCTCCCATGTTGTAAGATATAGCGCCCTCCATAATTATTGGCACCCCTGGTTAAGATGTGTTAAAAGCCTT